TTCTTTACTGTCAGGGTGATAATGAAGAAAAATATTTACAGTCCTGCCATCTAGGGAGAATGAACTGATAACAAATGCAGAGTTTCCTGACAGACATATTTTGCTCTGCATATTGACAAAGCAAAGAGCTCTATAAAGGAAGAAAGGCACCGTCCAAAAAATATTTGCTTCCTTTTCGATGCAGTGCTTTACACTGGATTACCTTTGTAAATATTTGCCTAATTCTATTACCGTTAGTTGTTTTATGGAAGGAAGCAGCCTCCTCTTTATAAACAGTGGCAAACAGTAAATGAGATATAGTAGTGTGGCACAGCATTTGTGCTGGTACAAAACACCTACAGCAGTGTATACTAAATGCACCACTGGGATTTTTGGATTTGTGGCTATAAGCCATATAAACTCATGTTAAAACAATGGTTACCCCATGGATTCATGGCAAGCCATTGCAAAACCAGCCAAGTTCTTTTGGGTAATCTGTGGGATCTTCATGTAAACCATCATACCTAATGCAGTGCTAGTTTAGTGAAATAGTGTTATCCTTCTTATCGTGATGTGAGAACTTCTCAGTACCTAGTAATACCTAGTAAGAATAATATGAACTTGCTGTGTTGCATCAGAAATTCTAGCATTTTTAAGATAACAGGTATAAAAAGGGTAAAGCTCAGATGACTTACAATGTGTAAGCTTGCCAGCGTGACGCCCATTTACAAGAAAGGCCGGAAGGAGGATCCAGGGAACTACAGGTCTGTCAGCCTGACCTCGGTACTGGGAAGGTTATGGAGGTTCACCCTGAGTGCACTCGCCAGGCATGTGCAGGACAACTGGGGGATCAGGCCCAGCCAGCATGGGTTCATGAAAGGCAGGTCCTGCTTGACCAACCTGATTCATTCTATGACAAGGTGACCCGCCTGGTGGATGGGGGAAAGGCTGTGGATGTTGTCTACCTGGACTTTAGTAAAGCCTTTGACACAGTTTCCCACAGCATTCTCCTCGAGAAACTGGCTGCTCATGGCTTGGACAGCTGTACTCTTCACTGGGTAAAAAACTGTCTGGATGGCCGGGCCCAGAGAGTTGTGGTGAATGGAGTTAAATCCAGCTGGTGGCCATTCACAAGCAGTGTTTCCCAGGGCTCAGTTCTAGGGCCAGTCTTGTTTAATATCTTTATCAATGACCTGGGTGAGGGGATTGAGTGCACCCTCAGTAAGTTTGCAGATGACATCAAATTGGGCCGGAATGTTGATCTGCTCGAGGGTAGGAAGGCTCTACAGAGGGACCTGGACAGGCTGGATTGATGGGCCTAGGCCAACTGTACGAGGTTCAACAAGGCCAAGTGCCAAATGCTGCACTTTGGTCACAACAACCCCATGCAAGGCTACAGGCTTGGGGGAGAGTGGCTGGAAAGCTGCCAGGCGAAAAAGGGCCCGGGGGTGCTGGGTGACAGCTGGATGAATATGAGCCAGCAGTGTGCCCAGAT